CCTTTTCATCATCGTCTCAGATTGTAAGTTTCGCCCAAGCTATAGTGGTTAGTCTCACTACTCAAGCCATTTTTAAATCAGCCTATGTCACATTTGCTTTGCCCACTCCTTCCCCTTTTACTCTTATTCTTCGAATAAGGCTCCTAAAAACTAATCATTGTCCATTTTGTATGCTTTTCCTTTTCTTGAGTTTTTCTATAGTGCTACATAGATGTAAATACGAGGGTGTAGTGAATTTCAGCCTCTTTAGCTTCATACCATTGTTGTATGGCAACCTCATTGTGTACATATAGCTTATGCGTCTTCCTAATCCATGCCTTTCCAATCCTTGCCCTGATCTGGCTTGCCTTATATTTCTCTAACTCCTGGTATTCTCATTTTTTAGCCCTTGTTTGATTTCATGTCTGTTCACCTTCATCTTTTGTCTTTTTCCTGTTCCTGTCACTTTCTTTTTCCTCAAAATTGCTTTGCTACCCTTGATTTTCAACATATCCATCAAAATCATCGGGGTGGCTAGGAATATTATCTAAAAAAGTCTATGTCCAAAAAGTTGGGGAGCACCACTTCCATCTTTGGTTCGTTAGCGGGCACAATATACTTGTTAGGGTCATATGCCACTATTTTCTCTTTTGTCGGTATTTCTTCAAACAATTCGACTTTGCCTAACACGAAATCCAACCACTTATCTTCGTAAAGCCTTCCCATTCTTTTGGCAACCCTGGTTGGTTCACCTTCTCTTTTGGTAGGGTTATCACTTCCGTTTGCATCACAAAATGCCACATTGGGTTTGTTTGCATTATGAAAATCGAATATGGGTCAGGTTTATTCACTTGTTGCTCCCTTTGGATGAGAACCACTATTACTTCCTCAGGTATAGGCACCGCTGGCATGGGTAGGTTGGCTGACATGATGTATTGCCCAGGGTTGAAGGTTGTCAAGGTGGTTTGTATGGCATTGATATTAGGCGGTGGGGGAACAGTTTTGTTATGTTCTAGAATAGGGATGGTGGTCACATTTGGCTTTTGTGGGGGTGCTATGATCTTGTTATCGATGAGATCTTGGATCTCATGATGGAGATGAACACATTGGTCAGTTTCATGGCCAGCTTGTTGGTGGAAAGCACAGTATTTATTGGCGTCATGGCTTGCGGGTAAAGGATCTAAGAGCGTCCTATGACCGACAAGTTTGAGGTGTCCCTTGTCTATGAGGATTTTCATGGCTTTAGAGAAGGACATATGAAGTGGGTGGAAGGTTCTTTAAACGGAAGTGGTTTGGGTAGCTTGGGTGGTCCTAGCAAAGGGGTCTGCAACGGCCTAGGTTCCTATGGCATGGATTTAAGTGGGATTGGGATTGGAGGATATGGAAGCAGTATTTCTAGTGAAGGGCTTCTTTTGAGGTTGAGTGGCGGTTTTTACTTTAATGATGCCCTAGTTGATCCCATCTTGTATTTGATTTCCAATGTCGAACATTTCTAAGAAGCTAAACAAAGGCAGAGGCAACATCATGCCGAGCAATGGTTGGTGCAGATTCTTGACGATGGTCCTTACTTGATCTTTCTCATTGGGCCAATTGGTCATTCTTGCTGCCTTGGCCCTCCATCTTGCAAAAAAATCACTGAAGTTCTCACTGGGCTCTTTCTTAGTGGTTTCAAGCTCCTTTATGGTCATTTCGAGCTGGGTATTATAAAAGTATTGAGCAACAAACGCCTCGACCAACTCGTCCCACTTCCATTTGATGTCATTATCGGGTTTCGCATACCAATTAGCAGTCACTCCACATAAAGTGCGGGCAAACAGAGATAGGATTGTTGGCGGGTAAGTCCCATGGGCCTCAAGATGTCAACCAAATGTCAGACATGGACCATAGGATCCCAGAGCCGTCATACCTATCTATGTGTGGCATTTTGAATTTTTTAAGACAAACGACCACCTCCCCTAAGCCAACGTCTAGGTCCGGAATGCCGTCAGGACCCTTGGCCTTTTTTATGGCTAAAACCAATTTGGCTATCCTATCCGTATTGACGTCGATATTCAGTAACTTGATCTTGGTCTCATCCTTTGTTTGATCTAGGGGTAGGATGAGAATGACCGGCACTTCTTTCCTCGGGACTTGTTGTGGTTCTGGAGGTGGTTGCAGTGGTGTAGCTACCTGAGCTTCTAGTTGATTCAAAGTCTGGGCCTGGCCATCCACAGTCACGGACAGGGTGTCTACAGACCTTTGAGGTACGTTGATCAAGTTTGCCAATTCTTGGGTCTGGGCCATTGAGATTTCGAGTTCTAGACTTGGGAAACTGAAGTGTTCTAGGCTAGGAAGAGCTAACCAATATAGGCTGGCCTGTTCCGAGTCCACTAATTCTGAATTGGGCTAAATTGTTTTGCTGGGTTTGAGCTTGGATTTGCATGTCTTCCTTTTTGATGGCTTCAGAGAGACTAACACGGGCTTTCATCAACTATATCTTGTGTATAAGACAAACGACTGAGTCTAGCTCACTTAGCTTGGGAAACTTCTTTTCTAGAAGCGATGTTTACAACAACCTTGAAAATAAGTGAATAAACCTAGTCAATTTTGTTTAACACTTACCATTGGATCCTCATAATCATCATCATCATTTATTAGGTGGTAGTTGCCCAATCAAGGAAATTCTGGGGAATTTTCTAACGTTGTGTTCGGTTGGAGAATTTGTGAAGGGAAAAGGAAAAGGAATGTGAAATGTGAATAAAATATACCTACATTTCATCTAGCTTCACACACCTTTTCCCTTTCCGTTTCTAAATCCTTTCCCAAATCTCCCAACCAAACACAGCGTAAGGGTTCCTACTAGAATGATCAGCTTGAATAATTGCATTTTCATTATTTTATTGCTTACCAAAAGAGTGCCTTATTTTATTCCAAAATCATAAGATCAAGTTACAACTATCTCTTCTTTTTTTTTTCAAAAATCATTTTTCAAAGTAAACCCCCCCCTCCCTTTTTCTTTTTCCAATTTCAAAGCTTCCCTCCATTTATTTTTTTTTAAACTGAGGAGTTCAAACCTTATTCCATGGAATCAGGAAAGCAAATATCCTTCAGCCAAATACCTTATAAAGGAACCAGAATTTGATTTAAAATGGAAGACTTGGCCATCACCTCATTGCCTATCTTTTTTCATAAAATTAGGGTTTCTTTAAAGTTAGTAGCCCAAATATTTCTTTTACTTGATGAAAAGAACTTTTCATAATTTCTGAACTCTACTAAAATTTTATTTTAAAAATCTTTCAGAGAATTTTAGATTTTATTCCAAGAAATCAATCAAACAATCATCTTCTAGTCAAATGCCTTCTAAGGAATTTCAAAATGAAAGACTTGATCATCACCTCCTTGTCCAACATCTTTCCATATAATCAAAATTCTTTCTGAAGTCAATAACTTAAAGATTTCCTTCTAATCAAGAACTTTCCATAATTTCTAAAATTCTACTCAGAATTTTCCAAAATTATTTCCTTCCAAGGAACTTTTGATTTTACTCCTAGCATCTAATCAAACAATTGTCTTCTTGTCAAATACCTTTTAAGGGAATTAGAATTTTATTTCAAAATGAAAGATTTGGCCACCACTTCCTTGCCTACCATTTTTTAATAAAATTTGAAAGTCTCCTCCCTCCCCAAAGTCAATGAGCTAAAGATTCTTATTCAATCAAATACCTTCCATAATTTTAAAGGCCCTAGTTAGGTTAGAATGCTTTTTTTTAAGAAATTATCTTTTGATCACATATTTTCTTGGGGGATTTAAACTTTAAAAAGACAATCATTCTTAATTGATTACTAAGGTAGGAATTCAAAATTCAAACTCAAATCCTTTAATTTAGGAAACTATCCCCAAATTTTCCATAGAATCTTAATTAGAATCCCAATCATTCCCCCAAATTTTTGGAATTGAGTCACTGCCCCAGATAACTTAGATTACTCTAGAATCAAATCACTGTCTTTCTAATTGTTGATCTCGGAATCAAATTGAACCATTTCCATTCAAGACAAAATACCATAGAAGCACATAATTTGCATTCATGCCTATTTAAGGGTAGGGTTGCCCTGTCCTAATTTTGGAAGTAAGATCTAAGATTCACTAAATCATACAAAAATGCAACATTGCAATAGTTCACACCTTTTAAGTGTGATTAAAAACTTTAGTTCACACCTTTTAAGTGTGATTAAAAACTTTAGTTCACACCTTTTAAGTGTGATTAAAAACTTTAGTTCACACCTTTTAAGTGTGATTAAAAACTTTAGTTCACACCTTTTAAGTGTGATTAAAAACTTTAGTTCACACCTTTTAAGTGTGATTAAAAACTTTAGTTCACACCTTTTAAGTGTGATTAAAAACTTTAGATCACACCTTTTAAGTGTGGTTAAAAACATTTAGATCACACCTTTTAAGTGTGATTAAAAATATTTAGATCACACCTTTTAAGTGTATTTAAAAATATTTAGATCACACCTTTTAAGTGTGATTAAAAACTTTAGTTCACACCTTTTAAATGTGATTAAAAACTTTAGATCACACCTTTTAAGTGTGGTTAAAAATATTTTGATCACACCTTTTAAGTGTGATCTTTGGAAGTGTGATTAAAAATGATCATTTTTAATCACACTTTTTAAGTGTGATTAAAAATATTTACATCACATCATTTAAGTGTGATTAATAACATTTAGATCACATCTTTTATGTGTGATTAATAACTAATAAAATCTGTGATAAAAAAAAAGTGCTACATATTTGAAAAATAATCAATATTATTTTTGTATGCACATTTGAATAATGTAATACACACTATATACTATATTTTGAATCATAACCACATATTGAATAGAATAACGTCATATATTTCATAAATGGAAATTAAATATTCAAAATTATATACAAAGGAATTAAATAAAAAAAATATCTGTGCTTACATATATTAAAAAATGAAAAAACTTAAAAAACTAAGTTCTTTAATTCTTGGACCATATTTTGCATCTCTCCAAAAAATTTCTGACCTGAAAAATGAAAACACAAATTAATTCAGAAACCACTGATGCATATGAATAAACTAAAAAGTTAATTCAGCAAACCAAAATAAGAACACACCAAAGATATAGTATAAACAAATTTTGCAGGCACATAGAGAAAATAATACTTGATCAAAAAATTCAACATGAAGACATAAATTGATTCACAATCAAGAGAACTGAAAAATTCATCAGGTAAAAGGAAAAAGAAAAAGAAAAAGAAAAAGAAAAAGAAAAAGAAAAAGAAAAAGAAAAAGAAAAAGAAAAAGAAAAAGAAAAAGAAAAAGAAAAAGAAAAAGAAAAAGAAAAAGAAAAAGAAAAAGAAAAAGAAAAAGAAAAAGAAAAAGAAAAAGAAAAAGAAAAAGAAAAAGAAAAAGAAAAAGAAAAAGAAAAAGAAAAAGAAAAAGAAAAAGAAAAAGAAAAAGAAAAAGAAAAAGAAAAAGAAAAAGAAAAAGAAAAAGAAAAAGAAAAAGAAAAAGAAAAAGAAAAAGAAAAAGAAAAAGAAAAAGAAAAAGAAAAAGAAAAAGAAAAAGAAAAAGAAAAAGAAAAAGAAAAAGAAAAAGAAAAAGAAAAAGAAAAAGAAAAAGAAAAAGAAAAAGAAAAAGAAAAAGAAAAAGAAAAAGAAAAAGAAAAAGAAAAAGAAAAAGAAAAAGAAAAAGAAAAAGAAAAAGAAAAAGAAAAAGAAAAAGAAAAAGAAAAAGAAAAAGAAAAAGAAAAAGAAAAAGAAAAAGAAAAAGAAAAAGAAAAAGAAAAAGAAAAAGAAAAAGAAAAAGAAAAAGAAAAAGAAAAAGAAAAAGAAAAAGAAAAAGAAAAAGAAAAAGAAAAAGAAAAAGAAAAAGAAAAAGAAAAAGAAAAAGAAAAAGAAAAAGAAAAAGAAAAAGAAAAAGAAAAAGAAAAAGAAAAAGAAAAAGAAAAAGAAAAAGAAAAAGAAAAAGAAAAAGAAAAAGAAAAAGAAAAAGAAAAAGAAAAAGAAAAAGAAAAAGAAAAAGAAAAAGAAAAAGAAAAAGAAAAAGAAAAAGAAAAAGAAAAAGAAAAAGAAAAAGGAAGAAATTGATTCCTTAAAGAGACATGGTCCAAAGACCACAAGTTGAACAAATTTGGGATATAATGTACAAACAAATTAGTCACTAATTCGACATATCCCAAACATCAAATGCAGCCTAAATAGTCACTAATTCCTCGGTCTTGCACACTTTTCATTGAAGAAGTCTACCACTAGACTAGGGACTGTATTCCCTATTTTTTTACCTGCACAGCTTTCTCATGTAAGAAACAAATCTCTGAATTTGAGATCTGGAAACTTCTCATACCATATGCATATCCCTGGCTGCAAAAATAAAGAGGTCCACTTGGATCACATATGACTGCATAAAGCTTTCTGTATAAGCATAGAACAAATAATCTTAATTCAAAGTATAGAGGGTGTGGATGGAAAAAATAACTAAAAAATGACCACAGTATCTCTAGCTTGAACTCCTCTTCTAGAGCCTTTACAATCTCCACAGTATCTAAGCTATCCAATCCCAAATCTTTCTGAAAATGGATGTTTATAAGTGAAAGTCTGTCTTTGTTTTCACGAGTAAGATTGTTGAAGTCTTAAATTGGTTCCATTTTTAAGTTCATTCCCAATCCTAGCCTAAACTCGAGGGAGTTGGTTAACCAATATTATGAGCCCAGATGAACTATGGGAACAAAGAACCAAATCACACCAATCCAATTTGTAACTCAGTTTATCAATATATTATTTTTAGTTGCTCAACATTTTCTCACAAAGCATCACTAGCCTTAAAATATATGTGCATGCACTAAAAGCATTTCTTGATTCTACAAATCAAATATCATTTTAACTAAAGAATTTTATCATAAATGAAATTTAACTAGCACTTCAATCCTTTCAAAAGTATAATAATAATAAAATAAATAAATAAAGAAAGTAGCTATTCTATCTAGAAAACTGATTCATCAAGGCTTGGTGTAAACATATAAGCACATACTCTAAACTATAAAATAAAATTGCCAAGCCACATAATATTAGTATATTAAGGAATCAAGAAACATAAAAGTGAAATTGATTATTTAGTATAATTGTAGTTAGTTCATCATCTGTGCAAACAGGACAAAATATAACTCATTAAGCCTATTTACCATAATGCATCCAAACATACTAGAAGAAATTGCCAAGTCAAAACAAACCAAGAAAAAAGTTATTTTAACAGCAATGGCACTCACCCATTCACCTAGGCAAAGGGACCGGTAATATTTGGCAAATCTGTGACATTCACTAGACTCCTCTCCTTTTGCTACTAAGCACCTGCAGTTTTTGATTGAAGAATAAAAATAAAAATAAAAAGGCAATTACTTAGTTCTACAATAAGTTGGTAAGATGTTTAAAACTCTTCATATAGAGCCCATTCATTCATGAATGCCTCAAAATGATATAATACTAAAAAAGTGTGCCTGTGAAACTCAATGTAGTGAGTGAAACAGTGTCTGGTCTAATTGGTTGTAGGAAATCAAAAATCAACTGGTCCAGTCTTCAGTTCAATCTGAAAGGCAACATAAAGAAGTTGATATCAGTAAAAAAGTTCATTTTTATTTTAATGAAAAAAATATTATTATTTTCTATTTGGTAGAAGTAGGGGTAATATTTTAATAAAAAATATTTTCCACTAAAATTAAAGATAATTTTCTGTGGTCAATGAAAAATATTTTTCTACGGCCTATTTTTTTTTTTGTTATTAAAAATCATGAACTAATTTTTTGTGGTAGAGGAGAGGGAGTAGTAGTAGTGGTGAAGGTGGTGGATAAGAGATAGTGGTGGTGGTGGTGGTGGCGGCGAAGGAGATTAATGGTGTTGTAGTAGTGGTAGAGTAGATGAAGTGGCAAGGGTGAAGGAGAGGTAATGGTAGTAGTAGTGGCAGTAATGGCGAAGGTGGTGGATAAGAGATGATGGTGGTGATGGTGGTGGTGGTGGTGGTAGCGAAGGAGATTAGTGGTGAAGTTGTGGTAGTGGTAGAGTAGATGAAGTGGCAAGGGTGAATGAGAGGTAATGGTAGTAGTAGTGGCAATAATGGTAGTGGTGGCAATGGTAGTAGTAATGGTAGTCGTAGAGGTGAAGTGGTGACAGTGGTAATAATAGTGGTAGTGGAATGGCGTTTGCAATAGTGGTGAAGATGGTGAAAGAGATGGGTGGTGAGAGAAAGAGAGATGAGTGAGAGACAGATAGAGGAGAGAGAGAGAGAGAGAGAGAGAGAGAGAGAGACAAAGGCAGAGTGATGAGCGAGAGAGAGACAAAGTGGTCGCTAAAAGTGCATTTTCTTGTAGTGGATAGATAAATCAAGAGGGAGCTCAGTAAATAGAAAAGACGGAAGAGAGAAAGTGAGCAACGCGAACACAGAGGGAGAGAGAGAGAGAGAGAAAAAGAGAGAGAGAGAGGGACAAAAAGATAAAGAGATAGAAAGTGGGAGACAGAAAAAGAGATAGAGAGAGAAAAGAGATGAACGAAAGAGACAAAGAGAGAGAGATAGAGAGAAGAGAGATGAATGAGAGAGACAGAGAGAGAGATGAGCGAGAAAGACAGAGAGAGATGAAAGATGAGAGAGATAGAGAAAAGAGAGATGAGCGAAGAGATAGGAAGAGAATAGAGATGAGAGAAGAGATAGATGAGTGAGAGACACAGAGAGAAAGAGAGAGACAGATAGACAGAAAGAAAAGAGTGATGAATGAGAGAGAGAAAGATAGAGTGTGGATACAGCTTGTATGCTTATCTGTGGATATTGTTGTTATACATATCTGTTGAGAATGTGGATGTAGCTTTTATGCTTATCTGAATGTGAGATATTGTTTTTATACATATCTGTGGAAATGGTGATAGAGCTAGCATGCTTATCTGTTGAAAAGGGGAAAATGAAAAGTAATTGGGACTTGTAAGTCGTTGACATAAATATGTTATTTATGTGATTGTATCAGTGTTGACCAACTATCAATTGCTAATGTTTTAGTCATTGTTCATGGTTGGTTTAGTGTATTTCTACTGGGCTGTGGCTCACCCTATATGGGAATATCATTTTCAGGTGCAGGAAGCATGCCACCTCCAAGGACATAGCTTGGGAGGCTAGAGGCAGGCATACCATTGTCGTTTTACTTTTTGATGTATTACATGTAAATACAAGCCAAGGGCTTAATGTGTATGAGTTAGTACTCTTTTGTTGTAACCAAGTGTTAACTTGGAAAGCTGTAAGCCCGTAGGGCATTTTGCTTTTATTGTTAACATGTAATACTTTTTGTAATGAAACACTGATGAATAGAAGAATGTGGTTATTTCATATGTTAATGAATGTGTTATTTGATGGGTTTATTGTTATTATTTTGAGGGCGTTACAACCTCCTCATCAACACTTTTCCATAAAATCAAATTCCCTCTAAAGTAAAAAACCTAGGATTTCTGGCTGATCAAGAACTTTCCATAATTTCTAAAATTCTACTCAGAATTTTCCAAAATTATTTCCTTCCAAGGAACTTTTGATTTTACTCCTAGCATCTAATCAAACAATTGTCTTCTTGTCAAATACCTTTTAAGGGAATTAGAATTTTATTTCAAAATGAAAGATTTGGCCACCACTTCCTTGCCTACCATTTTTTAATAAAATTTGAAAATCTCCTCCCTCCCCAAAGTCAATGAGCTAAAGATTCTTATTCAATCAAATACCTTCCTTAATTTTAAAGGCCCTAGTTAGGTTAGAATGCTTTTTTTTAAGAAAATGTCTTTTGATCACATATTTTCTTGGGGGATTTAAACTTTAAAAAGACAATCATTCTTAATTGATTACTAAGGTAGGAATTCAAAATTCAAACTCAAATCCTTTAATTTAGGAAACTATCCCCAAATTTTCCATAGAATCTTAATTAGAATCCCAATCATTCCCCCAAATTTTTGGAATTGAGTCACTGCCCTAGATAACTTAGATTACTCTAGAATCAAATCACTGTCTTTCTAATTGTTGATCTCAGAATCAAATTGAACCATTTCCATTCAAGACAAAATACCATAGAAGCACATAATTTGCATTCATGCCTATTTAAGGGTAGGGTTGCCCTGTCCTAATTTTGGAAGTAAGATCTAAGATTCACTAAATCATACAAAAATGCAACATTGCAATCCTGGAAGGGTGGGCATCCTGTCCTAATTTGAAAGGTGGTAATGCTCTCTATATGCAAAAGCTAGGTTTAGTCACGAAAGGGTACATCAGTTATTACTATCAATATATCTCTCATTCCACAAGGAAATGATCAAACAATACTAATAACATCATCTGACGCTTGCCTTATTGACATAACATAACCTGTGAATAGTGGCCGGGATATTATGCAATAAGGCAGGTTTCCTTAGTTCTAAAATGATGCAATGCAATTAACAATTAACCACTAATCTCATAAAATAGAAATTTTCAAGTCAAGCTAACTTAATTCCCTGGCAGAGTCGTCAACTATGGGTGTCGTGCCTTTTCCAAGTCTAAGGCAATGCTTCTTACATCGACTTGCTTTATTGACATAGAGTCGCCACTTAATTTTTAAAGGAAAATTAAGAAACCTTTAACGATGCAAACTAAGCTACGGCCTAGTTAACCAAAAATATTCCAGATTCGAGAACTTAGGTACAAAAGGAGAATGCTATTTACATGGGAGCACACCATTTTGCCCAATCCGAAGATTGGCCTCTACTCACTCTCTATTTTATGATTTTAGTGGTTAATTATTCACGTAGATTCATTTTAGACCTCAAAATCCTTTACTAACCTAAACTTTGTGATTTGAAGAAAAAGTAAATATCACGTATTTTAGATTAAATGAATAAGACCATATTTATAAAATAAAATAAAAATGATTTTATTATATTATTAAGAAAAAGGAATTTTTGACAATCCATGGCCTTAAACATAAACTACGATACACAATATTCACAAAAACCATACAAAACATACAATTTTGCATAGAAGGGCATAGAAACTTGCATAATTGGAAATGACAATGCAAGAAATACACACATGCTAAGAAGGATAAAAAGATTTACCCAAATACCCACTTCATGTGTCTTAGCACATACAAAATGCAATCCTAAGCTTGGTTTGAGGCTACGAACATGATTATTAAGCAAGAAAAAAAAACTAATATTACATGATGATCAAACTGGGCTTATGCATGATCTTTACATGATTAAATAATGCTTAAAAACATGCTATTTTGATTAAAATAAAGAAAATATACAAGAGGAGGTGAGAAAATGAGAGGAACTCAGAAGCTACATGATGGAATTACCAAACTAACAACCTAGCATGCTTGGATACCAAAATCAAATAAAAAAAGGGACTAAAATGTGAAAAGAACATATAGCTACCTTTTTGTTTTGAGAAACCAAAGAATAAATGCGAAAAAAAGTAAGAGAAATTGAGTCCTTTAACTACAAGCCTCCCTTAGGCTTCGGTTCCAAGTTAAGGTTGATATGATTCAGTCCTTAGTGGTTCCAAGTTAAGGTTGATATGATTCAGTCCTTAGTGGTTTTTCAGAGTTGTTTGGCTATCATAGGTAACGTATTTTCATGGCTAAGGTTGTGGGAGAGAGGGAAGGATGGTGTTTGCTCTCAAAGTGTGCTAAAAGGCTCCAAGTTCTTAACTTCCTTCAAAGGCAAGAGAGTGGCTCTATTTATAAAGCTAGGGAAAGTTTCAGGAACCCTTCTAGTGTTTCATCGCTTCACCCTCTACTGTTCCCACCAATTTTGAACGAAAATTGAGTTACCAAAAATAACTTTGTGAAGCTTCAATGTGCGAATGTATGGACCCAAAAAAAAAAAAAAACAAAAAAACATGGATGTGTTGTGAATTATGTCACCTTTCATGGTTGGGTTGTGTAGTGACCTAGCTTGGATTTCTAGTCGTGTGTTTAGGTGTTTTTTTTTAGAATGGTTTGGCATTGTTGGGGCTTATTATGTCAGAGCATTGTCTTTTGGGCCATGTTTTCATAGTAAGTCCTCTTCTTTTATGAGAGTTAACCAATAGTTTTGTTGTGAGGGTGGTTTTCCTTTCCTAAGTGCTCAAGTGTTAAGTGTTCAGTGGTGGTCTGGTGTGTTTGTTAGTGGTGGGGATGTGGTTGACGTCTTTGGGTTGCACGTAGTGTCTATTGTTTGTTTTCTCATCTCGTAGACCCCAACGAGTTGTGTGGGTTGAAGAATCATTCATGACCTCTTTCTTGTATTCTTGTTGTTTGGGTGTCTTTGGGGCCCTAAGATATTGGACCAAGATCCAGGAAATTATCCCAAGAATG